CCCCCCTTCTTTCTGTCTCTCTCTCCGGGCCGTGATGCGCGGATGGTCAGGCTGCGGGGGATACCGTTATGCCCAAACTGGGCTGTGGACCACACGAGGTGACGACACGGCCGATCCCTTCGCTGGGAAACTTGTACGCCGAATCCTTCCTGGACGACAAAGGAAATCTTGTGTAAAGTACAGGAAACGAAGTAAAAAAAATTGGGGCTGCATTTGGCATATCGCTTTGCATGGTTATAACCGTGAACTGTGTGACAAAATGTAGACCATTCGATTTTAGAAATCAAACGGGAACTTCCGCGACAGGCCTTTTTTATGTTGGCTTCTGTCCGATGCCCCAAGTCCTTCCACGATCCCTGATCCCGGTCCGTCGCGCTCATCCTGTGGCCGGGGGGGGGGCCTCCTCCCTGATTGCGCCATCCTCCGCCGACACCTCCGACTGTGTGTAAAATGATGTGACATCGGCAACTGAAATCCGACGCGCCTTTGCCGTTTGTACCCGACGGCAAACGTCACTCTCCCGTCCCGTCTCACTCCCACCTCATCCCACCACTAACACGGCCCCTCCCGCCCCGCCCCGCCCGCGAGTGCGACGAAGACAACTGCAGCGCGAGACAGGCCAGCGTGTTCACGCCACAATAGGCGCCATCAGCGAGATGGAATCTGCCCCGCCACCTGCAGCGCCCCGGCCCAGCCCCGGCCCAGCCCCGGCCGCCGCGGCCACACACGGCACACCGATACCCCGCGATAAGTAATGCTCGCCCATCAAATATTCCATAAAGGTTACGGCGAGCGGCGCCAACCCGGGGTGGAAACCCTCGTGGAAATCACGCCGCCGCGATAGAGCGCCTCGCCAGCCGGTTGCGCACCGTGGATGCAGCGGGCGGGTACGCCAGGAACGCTACAGCGTTGCCAGGAGCGGGCGTCACCAGATGTATTATGATGGAAGGACTAAGAATTGAAATCATAACAAAAAACGAAAAACATCTTGAAAACAAAGAGACAAACCGACTACTGGAAATGGTAGGTCATTTCATACATTTCAAGGATAGAAGATAACTCACTCTTCCTCACTCCCCCACCCTCCCTAACTCACTCTTTCCTGAAACCCTATGCTGTCAAGGAAGAGAGCGAGGGGGCAATAACTCCCTTTTGAAGTGTACACATGATTCCCGAAATTCTTGATTCCCGGTGATTCCCGTCCACTTATAATTATTACATAGATTTTTCGGGGGGTTTAAGTGGTATAAAACGCTTATTTCGACTGATTTGTACTTATTTCTGTAGTTTCCCGCTCATTCTAAGCGATTTCTATTGATTTTGATCAATATGTTTATCCTGATGATTCCCACACAGATGTACACATGATTCCCGGAGTTATTGCCCCCTCGGAAGAGAGTTAAGATTTGGTCTGACATTACAACGCAACCCCTGGCATAACAGAAGAAAATTCTGAGGGCCGGTCTGGGAGTTATCCACCTCATCCTTGAAATTCATGAAATGATGACCTCGGAGTTTAAAAGAAACTTTTTACCCGTGGGGTGAGCGTTGCATTCTACCCTTCTGGGGTGGAGTTTAAAGTCTAAAACGCTTAGCAGTTATTCACCACGTAGTTTTGATCGCATTGCTTGCACCTCATCTGCCCACCCACATTTAAGTGCTACCGGTGTGAACCGAAGGGAAGGTCTCGGCTTCCTTTGTGTCAGAGTCCGTCACCGTGTGCGGCGGCGCAGCAACGCACAGTAATGAGTTTATTATCTCAGTGGCCAAGGGCGAGGAACAAATCGACTAATCGTCTAATCAACGGAAGGAAAATGCGGAAAGGACGGGAATGAGCGCGGAAATCAGTGCTGCAGTCAACCTCGCCATCGCATCACCCGCCGGGAGGGTTTGCTCCGGTTTGTTTCGATCGATTGGGAAATCACTCGCATAATAAAGTCTAGCAGAGCAAGTACTAATGACGAACTAGGAACATCGCAGAAATAACGTAATAAAAGTATACACTCTGTAAAATGTTTACAAAGCAATGCCTTTGTGATCGTTTGTGACCTACGAGGGGAGAGGGAAGGGGGGACTGAAAACAAAACTGTCACATCGTAGCCTACCGAAACAATGTTTTATAATTGCACAGCAGTGCTTCGCAAGTACAATTGCCAAAGCGAAGATTTCCGATAACAAAAGTCACATAACACCATGCGTAGTTATATGCCTTTTCCTAGTGTATGACTTAGGTGGATCAACACACTAACATTCCTCTCGAGAGATTTTCCACCCTCGGCTTCGATGCAGCTATATACACTTCTACCCATAACGAGAAAAATCGGACAAACGACACCCACTCAAACGGCACCGTAGCCCTTGCCAAGCGCTTCCGGCGGGTGCGGTGCCGGGGAGCAATACGGACCCCTTTCCCGCGCCCCGAGCGTCAGCCATCGGACTGAAGGAAATCATTAGGAGTGTGGCTAACTGGGTTTGGCGGGGGCCGTCGCGCTCTGGCGGGGGCGGGGCACAAGTCGGAGAGGCACCACGCGAAGCGGCAGCCGGCAGCACCATCTCACTCGAGCTGAGGAAGGAAACAGGATGGAGAACGCAGAAAATATATATTTCACCGGGTTTTAATCAACTAAAGACCCAGTTCGAGTGCCCGCGCAAAGACATAGATATGAAGCACGACAGAGCAAAATTACATCGGTCTAGAAGTAGGGAGAGGCCCGGCCGGGTGAGAAGGTAGAAGAAACTGGAAAGAGGAGTTCCTAGACATGAGCTTTACCATTTCAATTAGATAAGGCATCATTGCATCGTGTAAGCAGATAAGGAATGAGGGGGTAACGGGGTGTCACTGAGGCAAGTATCACGGTAAAAACAATGTCTGATTTTTTGAGGAAACAGGAAAACTTTGAGGAACCTCGACATTTGAGGAAAAAACTCATAAAAAATGTAGGAATTTTCCTCATTCTTTCAGAAGATGTGCACGTTTATATTGGAGTTCTGGTTTATATTTTGTAGTTGGCCTGCCCTCGGGGTGCATCTTGCCCCGGCAACTGCAAACCGAGAAAAGGTGTTTGAAATATAAATAGTAATGCACGACATAACGAGCAGCAATTACTCGTGCAATTAGTTAAGAGTAATGAATATGCTGATTCGCCTCGTCATTATTATATTGCAGAATCCCCTCTCCCCATCCCGCTTACCTCTACCCCCTTCCCCCACCCCTTTCCCTCGCCCGCCCTTCCCCCTCTCAGCAGTAAAGTGCCCCGTCTTATTTACTGCAGATTGACGGAAGAGGGTTGTGAGTCAGCAGCCGATATAAATCACGGGATGGGCACGCGCGCGCTGGGTACTGAGACGACGCCTCCTCAGGTGACAAGTTGCGTCAACACGACATAGATATAAAAGCCTTTTCCAGGACGATGAGTCTTTTTACTACGTCTGCCTGCTACGTGAAACAAGTTTCATTCAGGCACATTTTACAATGGTTGTTTATTATTGTCTTTTTTTAAAAAAAGATGATAAACCATGGCAAGTACAAATGCGCTAACCGCGCCTGTCGGCTAGTTCACACGTGCTAACTGGTGCACCGCGAAACACGATCAAACGGCGCACGCGGCATGCTTGAGCGGCACTCAGCATGCAGAGCGGTAAGTGGTGGTGGTCATGCAGCCGGGGAGAGGGAGGGAGAGGGAGAAGGGGGAGAGGAGTACTGACGACTGTCAATTGTACCGCGACTGATGATGCATGAATAATCAATGGCACATCCTCATTGTCGGCCGGCCGCGCCGCGGGGGCGGGAAGAGTAGTGGGGGGATGCTGCCGGCCGGGCCGGGGTAGGCAGCACCGCGAAAGGCTCCCGCGATCCCATGAAGTCAGTCAGAATAACAAAGAACCCCGCGGCGGCGGTGCAGTAAGTGGCGCCACCAGCACTCGTTGCAAGGCCGAGAGGCCAAGGGTCCACATGGAAATCAGTCCGCGACGACACCTCACCGGTTTACTGCGTCGGCGCCTTGTTAGGTCGTCGGAGGGAAGAGCAAACGCGATCAGGTGGCGAGCGGCGAGAGAAAACACAAATCATACCGACATCTTCACCCACGGCTGTACATGGCTCGACACTTACCAGTGCTGAGCCGTCAGCAGCAAAGAGTTGAAAGTACTAACGGTGAGGTGATCTACATAGTTATTGTCACGCGTAAAAATTCGGTATTATTAAAGGAATGTAATTACAGTGAAATATAGTTTAAGGGCACCAGGGCAGAGGAGGGGGCCAGTGTAACATTGTGCTACTTAACACCAGAGCAGCTTAGCGGCTGAAGAATGTGTCGCATGGCTTACCTGGTTCTACAGCTATCACGGGGTGGCTCGGATAGCGCCGGCGGTGCTTGCTGCAACAAAACAAAACGACACGGGAAACATGAAAGAGGGGTTGATACATAAAATTAATAAAAACAGTAAAAATAGAAATATTTTTCTGAAGTACATGTGTTTACGTAAAGGTGTGTATAGCAGCTTACTTTTCGCGGCAGCACAGACTTTTCTTCAGTTAGTGCGTACGGTGCTCACGCAACGAGAGGGAAATGAGAGAGAAGTCTGAGATTGGAAAGGGGGGGGGGTAACGGAGGTGCGCTTCTATGTGCGGACGCGTGTCCAGTGTCCCACGCCATAAGAGGCGAGACGCTCATCCCATCCTTGCCGATAAAGACACTGATTGCAGTCAGGAGAACAAACAGAGTGGGCGATCAATTCTTTCTCTCGCGCCTCTCAAGGCCCCCCTCCCTGCCCTTTCCCCTCCATCCCACACTGCCAATAAGGGCATGGGGGACACAGCAGACGGGAATCGAAGCAGACGACGGTATCGACACACCGTACTGAGCATAGCCGGCCACGGCCAGCCAAGTTACAATCGACAGTATTTTAGAAGTTGGACACCAAAAGGGTACGTGTTAAAATTTCAATGGAAACGAGTAGGAGAGCAAGCTAGCCTCCAGTCTTTCTGTCGCCCGAGTCCGAGGACACATTGTTTTAATTCTCTCGCCGTGGGTGACGAACGAGTGGCGCTCCGTAATCCCGGCCGCCATTCGGGCTTAGCTCGGCCTACTCCAGCACATGATGCTAACCCCCACCCCCACCCCCAAATCCGTCACCGCCCGCGCCCCAAACCTGCCTTGGCTTTTTATTATTTATCCTCTTCTTACAATGCGCGAGCCATTTCTCCTCCCACCCTCCTTCCATCTAGTCGAGCCGCTTCATAAACGCTCCATTAAACTCAAAAGAGCTAAGGGTTCAACAGTCGGCGGACCTTTCTTACTTATAGGAGTCGAAAAGATGACGAACGGCGGTGGTCTTTCTTAAAAAAGACCTGCCGTCACAACACGCAGAAGCGGGACACTTTATATGCCTCAGCCCCGTCTCATTCTCAAACAAAAGGCGAAGGGGAGAGGCAGTGGTATAATGAACACGTAATTTTCACACTCCATCCATTAATTAATATAATCATAGAGATTTCATGTGAAGTCACTGCGAGTCGCTGGCAAGTCATAAAGTCGAGAAAGGGCGAGGATAGTGGCGAGTAGACGATGGGGAGGCGTTGCAAACAGGGTGGCATGGGGGTCGAGAAGCGTCGGGGCCGAGGGAAAGAGGGTGTAAGAGAAAGCGAGACGAATAGAAGAAGAAAGATGGGGAGAGGAAGAGACGAAGCGTTTATAAATTAAGAAAGACGACAACTGCCCCGCCCTTTCCGAGAGTATTTGCACTACGACCGTCGGCACCTTAATCCAACGCGCATCCCTGTCGGGGGATGCTTTTGCGCAGACACCTGACAAGCGGAAGGGAACCTGTTCCACGGGACGCCTGATCACTAAAGGGTCCGAAGTATGGGTTGCACTCGGACCAGGACAGGGTTGGGAGGGGGGGGGGGCAAGGTCCATTTGGGTAGCAGCACCAATATTCATATGGAAGCAATATCCGAACAGGAAACGAAATCCGCGACCAGCGTGTTCTGGGAAATGTGGCGGAGATTAGTTGTGGAAACAAATCGCGGTATGCAAATTTAGGGCGGCGGTGCAAAAAGGACTGGCAGTGGCAGTGGGTAGTCAGTCCACGACAGAGGGAGAGAAGAAGAGGCGAGCCACGCCCACGCAGGGCTGCGGCCTTGGTACTCAGTCGCTCCGCACCCCGCCTCCCCGCCCTTGCTGTCTTCGAAAACAGATGAAAGTTGCTCTCCAGGAAACACGAAAATTTGGCGCAGGACAGCCAGACGACGGAGGCCGAGACGGAGGCCGTGCACGGCCTTGGCAGCGAGCGGGACGGTTCGGGGCCGGAGGAGGGAGTGGGGAGGGGGGAGGGGAGTGACAGAGAGCAATCCCAAGGAAGCAGAAAAGGGCAGGGCAGAGCTGTGCGAAAAAGGAGGGAGGGGGTGAAGGAGATGTGAGAGAAGTGGGGAGGGGGCAGCAGCCGATCCTCTCCATGTTGTATGAATAGAAAAATAAGCGTAGGGTCGGGAAAAACGTATTTCAGGCGTGACCTGCCGATACTCTACGCGACTAGAATAGACTGGCCTAGCCGTCCTCCACAATCGAGTTCCGTACGCATCGATTTCTGGGTTTAAAAGAAAATAATACAGTCGCCCCGGTTCCTCAGAGGCACAACCAAAACCAGGCAGGTAAAATAATGGTACATTACCCAGCGAGGAAAAAAGCATATCATAGGCACGAGTTGTCATGCCTGATCGCGCGCATCCACCCCGGAGAGTGGGCCCTTTGACGGGGCGGCCACCGCCATTGTGACGGGCGCCGCCGCGGTGAGCTCGGCGGCGGCGCATCCATCAATAACATGGCTTTTTATTTTGTCACCCCCGCCACCTTTTCAATTCGGCACGCCGCCCGTGCGAAGGGAGACGACCGACGGCGCGGCGCGGGTCCCTTCAACACCATTGAGCCCTCCCCTCCGCGCCCCACCGCCCCCCGCGCCTCGCATGACGCAACACCGCACACCCCGAAGCGACACGTCCTCCTCCTCCTCCTTCGCTTCCACAGAACATAACCCCTGGAAACGTATTACAAGCGGGCCGTCTAAGCGATGGCCAATGGTGGCGATAAAGTGAGAAGAAATTAGTAGCCGTGTGGTTGTGTAGTCTGTTCACATGCCGAAAGGAAAGGGGGGGGGGCGGAGGGTGAGCGCGCCTATTCTTTAGGCAGCCTGATCGCTTTACGGCCACATCGCCGACACCCAGAAGAGCGGAGCTCATGGACTTCCTCTAATGCAGTTCCAGTTTCGTAATAATGTAAGAGGCCCGCTCCTAACTAGATGAGACATTGTCGTCGGGCGCGGAGGCGCGAGCGTGACCCCCGAGCGGGTGATCGGCGCCCGCAGCCCACCCGAGCCCCCCGCGGCCTGCTGCTCGTCCATCGTCATCAGCGTGAGGAGTTGGCGGGCGCCACGCCCGGGGTCCGGGATGATTCACGCGACGATTGCAACAGTGCGGGGCAGGAGGGGAGGGCGCACGATGACCCGGGGCCAGCGCGCCGGCACCCGGCACGGCGTCGCGCGGCTGGCGAAGCAGGACCGGATCCATAGGCAAAGGCCCCCGACGCCCAGCTCCTCACCGCAGCGCAGCAGGTGAAAGACCTCGCCGGCCAAACGAGTGATGGATGAATGGGAGTCAGATCAGACCTGACATCAACGGGCCGGGCGGGCCGGGTGGGCCGGGCAGGTCACACGCGGATCGCATCCGCAGCCGGAGACACAAACACGCTCGCTGCAGCCGAGCCGCCGAGCCGAGCCGATAGCGATAGGACGGGTAGGCGGGATGAGATCTGCCACGCGGTGAGACAGCCGAACTGGCTGCATATTTCTCATGACAGGGCGGGCGAGCGGGCTGAAGAACTCACTATACACGTTTTAGAACAAATTTACATATTCGTGATGGGAAACGTTAGTCTGGGCTAAATGTTTTTTTAGCAGTAAGGAATGTTTTGTTCAAGTACTGCAAACTGCACCTAAAAATAAACACTACAAATGTAAAGGACAATTTTTGTTACGGGCACCAGACTTTGGTGCGCAATACCGAGTTCTGATACAGTGTTGTAACTTCCTATACTAGATGTGAGTTGCTGGTTAGAATATTGTATGTGGGCTAGTTATACACATAGAAGTTGGTTGGGAGTTATTACAAAAATTGTCCTTGAACATTTAGAGTGTAAGCTGTTCAAGCAGTGCAAGGAAGTCTACCTTCTACCTGGAAATAGGTGTTCATTTTATTGTACGTCACATAAATTAATTGTGAACTACTGAAGGTACACCCTAGAATTTCTCTTTACACTAAAATGTTATTGACTTGCAAACAGTACTACCAGCAACAACTACTACTACAGTACTGAAAAAAGTGGTTAGAACATTTCTTCAAAAGCTCTTTCAAATAATTGATTACAATGGCAAAATTGTAATCGTAAACTGTAGATAACATGTGCATACCAACGTTGCTTGTAGAATAAAGCAAATGGATAATCTTTAAAGCAGAGGTAAAGGTAATAGTTTTAAACCAGCCATGTGCAACTTTTTTAAAAGAATCACACTGGTTCAAAATGCACTGCACGACCGGAGGGACACTTACCTGTCAAAATCTGTTCTGCATTGCACTCAAAACAATCGAAAGCTCCATCGATAACTTTACACATGACCCTCTTAACCTCTGTGACATGCTGCCTCTAGGCAACAGAAACTGGAACTTGAGCTGAGTGAGACCCGGAACAACGTGTCCATTGCTATATTACACAAGTTAATCTATCGTAAATGATAGACATTGAATCGTTTCTACTTGGGACAAGCCCAAAACCGAAAATGATCAAAAATTTCCAACTTTGACGTAGATTGACGGACGAGTCACGGGTGGTGGATGCTGGAGGAGGGGCGGGGGCGAAGTGGCGGGGTGACTGCTGAGGCTGAGTAATTCCAGCCAGGGTTGCCACATCTTTGGTCAAAAATATTACATTTTCAACCGCCACATCATTGATATTATTCCGAGGAAAACGCATGAAACTGTGCCACGACCGAAAATCAAATATTTTTTTACAGTTTGGCTCCATCTAGTGGGCACCCTTTACAGACACAGCAACTAAAACTAAGGTTTAAAACAGTTGCACGGGATTGGTTATGGTGCTGTGCTCTCCGTGCCGTCATTTTGACTTGTTCGGAAAGTTTACTCAGACCCAACAAGGGAATAATGGATTTCAAGCATCACGTCCAGTCCCGGTTTTCCAACAGTTGTTCCTTCTTGTTCAAAAGAAAAATATGAACTTCGGGGTGATTCCTCCCCGTCCGCGGACGGTAAATTATGGTTGTCAGTGTTTTGGACACCTTGTAAAGTAGATTTCCTGTGTGGGAAGATTTCGCCGCGACGGGCCGTCGCCCGTCCTTCGAGCCCATTCCTTCTCACGCAGCCCCCGGCGGCTGCTTGATAAATTAATCAACCTTATAGAGGAGACGACGCGACTCCGCTGTACGGCGTTCGACAGCGCGCTCCGTTTTCCTCGGCACACGGCCTCCGGCACGGGCAAACCGTTCGCTCTCACTCACTATAGTAGAACAATGTAGGCGCGCGACAGAAACAAAATCCGTCTTCGCTAGCCTCTCCTCGCCTCCCGACGCGGCGGCGGCGGCGTCCTCCACCGTCCTTCCACCCACTGCTGGCCGATACCACAGCTAGCTCAGCCTGGCGTTCTCGCCCAGTCTGGTCCAGCCCACGCCCTTTTCTTAAGCGCCCTCAAAGGAAAAGAGGAGGCCTTCGGGAAATGAGCAAGGTCAGGGCGGAGGCCGGGCCAGGGGCGTGCCGGAGGGAGTGGAAGTCAGTCGAGGGTCCGGTCGCTGGGGTACAGTTTGGCCTCGTGACGCAGCCGATGAGGACAGCCCGGCGGAGGCCTGCGCTTCGCCTCGACGACTACCCTCTTTTCCTTCATATCGCCGCCATGCCGCCCCTCACCTCACTACACTTGACGAAACCTGGCCGCCGATGGAGGTTGTGCTTACGACAGGGCGTTTAAAAAGTGTCTTAGATCCGTTGTATGAATCCAACGCTGACCTGCCGTCTGATTCCGAAGAGCGCTCTCCTACACCTCCCGTATAGCTCCGTCCTTGTCGCACTCATAGGGCAGCCCCCTTTGAGCGCTCTTCGGAATCAATCTGCAGTACAGAGATAGCACTGCTTCTTTGTTATTGTGGCATTGTGTCGACAGGCGAGGGGTGCGCGGAGGTCAGATGGAGCGGACCGAGTTTCGAGTTGCAGTGCACACGGCGGGGATGCGCTGCGCGAGGCGGAAGGAACAATGCGACGGCGCGGAGGTCAGACTCCCACCGGGACCAGCCCCCGCGGCCCCCGCGGCCCCCGCGGCCGCCACGCCCCGGAGGGCACGCTATTGTCCGGCCCGCACCGACACCCGATAGCAGTCCATCTAGTTGACTCACTCCTCTCCCGGCGGGGCGGGCCCCCCTTCCGCCTGGACACACTATCCACCGCAGAGGCGCAACCCCATCGCCGCGCAGGGGACGGCGCGAGGCGGGCGCGGCAAGAAGCGCAAGCTGCGGCAGCGCGGCGGCGCGGGGAAATGAGACGGAGATGGCGGCGTTTTGAAGCTAACGCGGGAGCGGCGCGCTCCATACCCAAGGGCGTTATGTGGACCGGCGGCAAAAACATACGGGGACGCGGCGGCAAGAAGCTCCCCGTCAGTATGCCCACTTCCGTGGCGAGCCCGTCGCGTCCATCCGGCAGCGGGGAGATGAGGGAGGGAGGGAGGCGGGCAATTAAGTGAATCGTCTTTTTCGGAAGGCAAGAAGCGCCGCGCCGCGGTACGTTGAGGAGTGTGACTGCCGTGAATCGGGCGGCACTTGGAGGACACTCTGGGGCCGCATATAGGGTGTGGTGTAACGGCAAAGCTTGGGCTTTATTGGGTCTATTTCGCATGAGCCTCCGGTGGCAGACGAGACGTAAATAGGGCGACGGCCCGAAGAGACGACGACTTTTCCCCAACAGTTCGCCTGATGGGTTTTCTTCGGAGACTCGGCGCTCGCCTTGCGCCCGCGCCCGCCCGTCAAGGAAATGCGTGATTCGGTTTTGCATCTCAGTTTGTCATCTCCTGTTGGGGATTAGATGATGATTATCTCTGGAGCTGGCATGCGGGGCGCAGAGAGGCCGCGACGGACGGCGACCCCGTCAACGCGAATTATGACCAGAGCTATCAACATCAAACTATTTCCATCAAAATTGTGACAGAGAAAATAATTAATGGGCGAGGGGGGACTTGAGGACTGGAGCCACATTGCCCACCCTTGCGGTTTGAAGCAGAAGCACCCTTCAAGTACCCTCTGGCGGGTGGATTGGCCTGTGCCCGGGCGCTCTCCCACTCTGTCGACTGTTGGGCGCCCTTGCCGCGATTGGGCTTTGAGGTGAGAGCGGCACGGATACTACGCGATATCGCTTCCCAATCCATTAGACATCCGCCAGCGAACTATAGGATTAAGATTTCCAATAAACGACGTGTTCAGAAGCGAGGGGCGAGGGGAGTATAAGAGGCAGCATGGGCGCGAAGAAGAGAGCAGTCTATACCGAACCGTCACACCATGGAACAGGAACGCGCGATGATTGCGTCCAGTAGAGTGGTGAGACACTTTCTTTCTGTACAAACAAATTAATGGCGAAGCGTGTAGCATTTAGCTTTTTTAACGAAGTGTGGGATATCTCCGCTCGCGAGGCGGGTACTTTACCCGGTGACTACCGGCGCCCGGCGCGGCCCAGCCCTGGAGCAGCGCCGCGGGCCGGGGGCGCCACCGCCGGCCCCACCCGGGCCCCGGACCCGGGCCCGCGGCGGGGGAACGCTCGGTCAAAACGGCCCCCTAATCTGATGCCGAGTCTCACAAGGGCCCCGCCGCGCCCCGCCCCCGCCCCGCCTGTTCTCCGCCTCCGGGGGCGGCATTATTCCACCCCCATCGAGGGGGTTCCAGATGCCGCTGAGATAACACGCCAATAATGAGCGGACTGTCGGACACGTCGCTGCCAGACGTGCCGGCCGGGGCGCCGGGGCCCGGGGACGACAACAGCAGCTGTGCTGTGCGGGGGTCCATGCCGGCGGCGAGCTCTCAAACTGAGCTGTCACCCTGCTCGTGTTCCAGGCCCTCTGGCTGCTGGCGGCCGCAGTCGCCGCTGCCACCGCTGCCCCCCAGCAGCAGGTCACCCAGCCCGACGCCGCTCCGGCCCTCATCTCCTCGACGTACGCGCCGCCCATCCCCGTGCTGCGGCGCTCGGAGGTGCACGACCCGGCAGGGCAGTATGAGCTGTCGTACGAGACGGGCAACGGCATCACCGTGGAGGAGCAGGGCGCGCTCAAGAGGAACTTGGACGGCGAGTTCAAGGACGACGTGGTGCTGGTCAAAAGAGGCTCCTACTCCTACCGCGGCGCCGACGGCCGCATCTACCGCGTCACGTACATCGCCGACGAGACGGGCTTCCACGCCAGCGGCGATCACCTCCCCGTCGCACCGGAACCCACCAGCTCCGGTCCCATCCGGACGTTCTGAAGAGGCTCCCGTCCCCCCGGCACCCACCTGTGTCTTGCAGCCTCTGTGATACCCACATCAGAATATGAATAATCATTAAATATATACAACAAAACGAAGCCACATATAAATCAATTGAACCAGTCTCTCAATTGTGGAAAGAAGGGTAGTCTATTATTGCACTGAGACAGATTGGAACTAAAAGAATAACACCACGCCCGTTCAAGGTGCCCCTGTTGCCTACTTTAACACCTTCACACTGATGGGTGAACGGCGATGCCTTTGTTTAGCTTTCATTCTAACAGAACACCCAATCGTCATTTCAATGTGCCTGAGTTAAACATCTCCATTCGAATATTAATTGGGAGTTTTCCATTCTGAACTTCGACCAATACCTTTGGATCAAATTTAAAGCAAGTGTTATCCCTACACCAATTTCAAAAAAAACATTCATAAATGTTTTTCTGAAACATAAATAAAAATAAATGCTAACAAAGTATTAAACCGTTATTTCCCTTTGATCCCTTTTAGTGTCTGAAGGGCGTTACACCTGGCCCAAACAATATTGTGTTTTGTACCGCATTCAGGCTGGTGGAAGGTTTGCCTACTCGAACGGCGCCAGAAGGCGGCCACTGTGAGGAACGGTACATGCAAACCCGCCCGCACCCCTGCATTCGGTACAGTATAACCAAAGACAAATGTACGATATGCGTGACCCTGCATATTAGAACTAATAGAAAGTTAACTTAGGTGGGACAAAGGCACACCGACAGAGCACAGACCTCTGAACCTACCTGTAAACGATTGGTATTGAGGTGCACAACTGCAACGTTGCGTCAATAAGCCATTAAAATTTTTTAAAAAAGTGACCAAAATGCATATTTGTCACTACCATTGACTGGTGAAAAAAGGTAAAAAAGAAATCCGTAATAAATTGGTTGTAAAAATATTGACTCACATATTTTTAATCCTTTTTGTTGTTGTTGTCGTTGTTGTTGTTTTAGTTTTTTGTACATGGAGACCTCTCCTGTCTTGCCCTATGCTCGACATGCTTCATCTCGTCACTGTGAACCCGTGTATAATCACTGGAAAAAATTATGTTTTGTTGCCCTGTTAGTACGCTGCGCTGATGGTATAAACAAATGTTTATAAAGACGCATAAAAAAATTTAAGCAATGTTGTAGGGTTTATTGTTTTCGAATGGTAAATGAATCACAGAGGTTTGACACGATGAATCGGGCAGGATCTTAGACTTATTGGAGGACGGGGCGGTATCCGTTTTCGTCAGCTGTGAAGGTGAGCCTGTGGCGCATGCCGGCGGGGTCCACGTACTCGCTCTCGCCCTGTCTGACGAGAACCTGGCCTTCGGGGGAAGCCCTCAGAGTGCCCTGGTCGGAGTGGGAGATGCCGTTCTCGGTCAGGAAGCGGAGCTGGAAAGCTTGACCGTTGGCGTCGCGCTGCAGGTCGTGCTGCAGGATGCGGTAGAAGGGTGCCTGTGCGGAGGCGGCTGCCACGGCCGCCAGGACGGCGAGGATGATAACCTGCAAGAGAAGCGCAAAGTTGAATACAATGTTAATCCGAAAAACATCCACAAAATGGCTGTCGACAAGGAATCTATTTTAATGTAAATGATCGAGTCGGTAAGTCGTGGCACTCGCCTCGACTTGCACACATCGAAGATTGGCATTGACTAGTGTGCGTCTCAAAGGACTGCGGCAAGGCTAAACCAAGACAACCCCACACAGCCGCGTCGGTCGCGTCCGTGAAAAGTAATGCGAGACCGAGCGCAGTGGTGGTGGTGGTGGGTCCCAAAGTCGACAAAATACAACACAAAAAGCGTCTGCTCTTAACCCTCGATTCTGGGTCATCTTTTAACTTGAACGCACTGTCCTGCTCCTCGGCTTTGCGGGCAGCCAGCTCCGCCGGCCTCATCAAAAGGGGTGGTTAAGGCTGTCTGCGAATGTCAGTCATCCAGGCAACGCGGCAGCAGCCAGCCTTCGCCCTGCCTCCGCCCGCCGCCCCGGCCGGGGCGCCCTTGCAATCGAATTACCCTATCGACCTTGTGAAAATGCCCCCGGAGTCACTGCGTTCCGGAAACCTTCCCGCCATAGAAGGTGACGGCGACGAGGAAGGGAGAGGAGGCCCAGTGCCTTTGCAGATACTTACAGAGGTGCGCATGGTCACGTTTGTCGGCAGAGCAGCTGGCTGAACTGATGTCGGAAGGTTACAACCCCTCTTCTTTTATACGCGCGGCCGGTCTGATCAGAATGATAGAGCGCCCCGCGCCGCCCCCGGCTGCGACCGCACGGCCCCCAGGGCTGCCCCCGCGGCCCGCGGCCCCGCGGACCACGGCGCGATACCATGAATACGGACCCATGCGAGATCGGCGATAGATGTCGGGGCTACGAGGGGAAACACTTTTTGGGGGGAAAGAAGCGAGGTGAGGGTGGGTTCTGTTCATTTTCTGTTTTATTTTGCATGTGGGATGGTTTCCTTTTTGATGAAGACCCTCATTTTCCCGTGCCTCTTTGAAGAAAAACCAATGGTCGATGTGCTACATTTCGAGATGTATTGCTTTGCCCAGGCAACCAATGAGTCACCTCCTGCCGTGCAGAGATGGGCCAAAGCGGTGCCACGGTGTGCGCCCGGAGGGTCAGCAGCCCAACCGGCGTGGACGCGCGACTGGTCGCAGGCTGACCGGCGAAACCCGAGCCTAGCGATGCTGAGCAGTGCATACCCCAAACATGACTATTAGTCAGAGGCTAAACTGATAAAGATGATTACTCATCGTCGCGATTCTGTCCCCGGTTACACGAATATTGCAGTCGTCAGTTAGTTCAACCTATCATAAACTCTAAAGCTCATCATGACATGGAAAGCATCCACCTTCGTATTCAAATTCAATTCACCGAAAGATTAGAATTGCTGTCACTGCTGATTAATTGCTGTCGTAGCTAATGTGGCGCGTAAAATATTGTCACCTGCTGCAGAAGAAAAATTGCAAAACGCTAATTTGTTGTCGCAGCAACTTCGTGTGGTGGTTCATAGTTATAGTCTCGTGGAAGAACGGCTTGGGGGGTTATCCCGCCGTCCGGCCGCCCTCCGCACGCTGAAATTTTTGTCATTGTTCCGACGAGACGCGTCACTGGACCAACAACATTTTTTCCTTGAAATGGACTCAGGAACATAGGATGCTCTTTCTATTCCAACGACCATGATATGCTGGCTCAACGACATGTTCTGTGGCACACCATCGCCTGCCATAGGGCTCGTTAGCAACATCGTGTCTTTGGACTAACAACCCGGCCACAAGAACACGGCGGTCGTTGGAACAATGATTCTTTTTTTCAGTGCAGAGAACCATTCACATTCATCCCAATACACCAAATGCATAAATGGACAGTAAGGCACAAAATTCAAACCAGGAAATCAGCTGAATTGAGTTCCACAAACTAATGAACAAGTTCAATTCACGGAGTCGGAACTCTACCTGGTGGCAGATTTTCCCGCCCATACTATCGTGGTAATACAGACTACGACATGCGGGTAGATTGCGTAGTCTCTCGGAACCATAAGGGCCGCACGGCCTAAAGACTATAGGAAAACCCGCCGGCACGCCTGACGCCGAGTGCGTTACAATGGCCTATATCGGACGGTGGTGAAGGGGGAAGAACAACAACGAAAAGTCGGAGAGAAAACATAAGAAAGTGTATCGGATTGTCGCTGCGTTTTTGTAAGCGGTAAGACGCCAGAAGAAAGCCATCACAATTTCTCGGACAACGAATTGGCGATGCAATTTTATTCTAACTTCTGATTTTAATTTTTATCTCCAGCCAAACGTGCACTAGTTCGCGACCTCCCGAGTAGTGTGCAGCTGCATCGAACCCCCAAACACCGTTCGCGGTGGGAATCTGCGCGGACGTGTACAGTTAATGTTACTTTAGAAACGTGCCTCCCACCGTCACCCCAACGGGGGGCCCTGAGGGCCAAGAGGGCTGCCCACAGCCCGGTATAAAAGCTG